CCCGTGGACGAGTTCGGCTGTTCCCGCGCCGCAGCCGAGTGTTTGAAAACCAAGATGACCAAGAAGCCCTGTGATCCGTCTGCTTCTGTGAAAAAATATTAGTTTATTATTTCTTTCGCCCGGTTCTTTCGCCTTTTCGACCTGGTTGCCTTTCATTCGTGGATAGTAAGAACATTTGGATTTGCTAAAAGCTTTAGCCTGCTAGAAACAAATGTTTATTGTGCTTGACAAAGCATTTAACTTATGAATTTAACCTCCTATGTTGGCAAGTCATTCAATCTTTATTTCGGGCACTTGTACTACCTCTAGGCGCCGCGGCTCGTCTATCGCTGTCTAGTCGACATTTAGAGTTCTTAGTGTCTGTCTTTTCATAATGCTTTCAACTTCACCTTACCTATATTCATGACATGCTATCAAGTAAAATAAATGGCCATATAAGAGAGTGTCAAAGCGATGGAAATGTAACCATTTATCATTTCAGTCATACGACTACTGTGAACGTCACTTATAGAAATTACGAGTAAGTCGTATGGTAGGAGCCAAAATATCAAAAACTTGATGTTTCTCAATAGACAATCAAAATAGAAGCTGTAAATGCCAATACGTGTGGTTTATTGAACATGAGTCATGTATAGAGCTGCTTGTGAACCAAATCACTTTAAAATAACAAGATCAACCAACAACAGTCTAGGATTATAGTTTTTGCGGGAGCAGTTGATCTTTCATCAGACAATCTTAACACAGCTGTCCCTGGTAGGACAGCAAACTTTTAAGTGTCGTTAAAACGATAGAAACATTTGAAACAAATACATTCTTAAGAAGCTGTTGGATATGATAAAAGACGTGGGTGGCCTCTTTAAGACTATGGACATAAATAAGTGCTCCCGCAAAAACCACACTGTTAAATTCCTTCAAAGCATTCGCTTTGCAGAGCTGCGAAGTATTTTGCTCCTTTGTAACTACGAAGCATTTACTTTGCAATTACAAAGTGATGCTTTGCTATTGCGAAGCAATGAAAACGCCGCAAAACATCGCTTTGCAATTGCAAAGTGTAACTTCGTAATTGCAAAGCATCACTTTGTAATTGCGAAGTTGAATGCTTCGTAGTTACAAAGGAGCAAAATACTTTACAGGAACTAAACAGTGCATAATCCTAGACTGTTGTTAGTTGGTTGGTTGGTTGGTACTTACATGTGCGAAGGACATTACCTGTTCTTCTAATGGTTTCAATTTTTGGGGTTTTTTGAAACCCCGGAAGGTTGAACAGTTATCGTGGTTGTTGTGGCACATTATAGGGGTGTGAAACTCAGCATGAAATCCGTGAAGTGCCATTCTTCTTTACAATAATTGCAATAACACGTGTACGATTCCGGCAGCAACAAGTTACCAGTCTCGCTCTACAATAACAAGTCCGCGCAGGTCGGTCGTCTAGCTCTATCTCTCTCTCTCTCTCATGCCGGCTCTCGTCTCAAACAAACAAAACAAAACACGCCACCCCGCCCCCTCGCTCCCTCACGTAAACAATGTGGGGTGAACACCATCAAACAAACTAGCTAAACGATTTTTCTGAATTTGAGACTTTCTCCTCAGAGGTAGCTCGGATACCATGAAGTTAACATGCAACAAGAAGACAGGTAACAAGGTTTATTCTTCTGGTCAAGGCACTGCTTAATGTGAAGTTAACATAGATAACATTTCATTGGTTATGCAGACAGAGTACTGAGCATTGGTATTTATGATCATATTTATTTCTTTGCAACTTAATGAATGAAGATGTTGCTCTGGAATATATTAATTTAAGCATATTTTCTTTCTTTTAAAAGCAGGCCTCCACTACAGGATGATAGGATCAGTGGATCGAGCTGGGGTTGGGGTAGAGCATTCCTTTTCTTCAGACGACGGCACTGAAAGAGCCAATGTCTTCAGAGATGAAAGCGAACAAGAGGGAGAAGGCTCTGACAGCAATAATGGTTTAAGAGATCGAGAAATATTGGAGAGAGCATGTGGTAATCGTCACAGCAGAAAAGTGAGTACTCGTTATATTCTTTATTCTGCATAGATTATTCATTGCAGAACTCAGCTTACTCTACGGAATTTGTATCTTTTGGTTTTTATTTGATGCAGGCTGGAGAAAGAGGAAAAGTAGCTGATTAAATGATCTCAGAGTCAAGGTTTGCACCATCTTTCATCAGCTAATAACCGCTCTGAACGTGCTGGGGTATTACAAGTTGGAGAGGAGAAATATCATGACAGTAAACTTGTTTTAGATAGCCATTAACTATCGGCACAGCAGTGACTACTCCAGCCGCAGCTTCCATCTTCTCCTGCATGCAGCGGTGAAAATCATCATCAGAAAACCACCTACTAACTAATATTGAAAGAGGATCAATTACAATCACCAATCTAGAAATAAATAGTGATATCTCTGATCATAACATGCTGATTTGGACTGTAATGAAAGAAAACAAAACAAAAACAATGGAGACTATTACAAAAATCAACTATACTAAGCTCCAAGAATATCTAAAAATAAACAAGATTAAGCATGAAGGTATCAACGAAGACGTGGATGCACTAAGTGATTTGCTCCATGATCATCTGGGAAATGCGATAATTCAATGTGAAGAAAGCAAAGAAATCAAAAAGACAAAGTATAAGAAATTAAATCCATGGGCAACAAATGAACTAGTCAAGATGTGTGCACTTAAACAGGAGCTGTACAGAAAAAAGAGACAATATCCACAAAATGAAGTGATAAAGGAGTACCATAAAGAAATCTCACGAAAGGTGAATGACCTCAGAACAACACTTAAAAAAGATCATATAAATAGACAAATAACTAACTGCATCGAAAAGAAACAGAATGTGTGGCAAGTTCTAAAAGCAACATCAGGAACTATGTCAACTGAGGATAATACCATATGCCAAATTAAGGAAGATAACGATATCATAACAGATGAGAAGACTATAGCAAACAAATTCAACTCTTTCTATGTCAATGTAGGTCCAAACCTGGCAAATAAATTACCAAACTCAAGCGAGCCTAATACCATGGATGCATGTGGTAGTAACAATATTATGACAACGAAGACAGCAACTAGAGAAGAAGTAATCAATTTAATAGCTAAGCTCTCACACAAGAACTCATGTCCTAATAAAATAAGTAATGTTCTAATCAAAAAAGTTAGTGACAGTGTTGTTGACATTATGGTAAAAATTATAAATATCTCATATAAAGAAGGAGTCTTCCCTACAAAATGTAAAGACACTGTAATTAAACCGCTTTTCAAATCTGGAGATGCCATGGAGGTAACAAATTATAGACCTATATCAATTACATCAGCATGCGCAAGAATTAATGAAATGGCCATGAAAACAAGATTAGAAGAATACCTACATAAAATAAACTTTTTCTATCAAGGACAGTATGGGTTCATAAAAAATAAAGATTCACAAGGGGCTATTTTTGACCTTGTGACTACAATACAAACTGCCATGGATAAAAACCGAAAATGTGTAGCAATTTTTATTGATCTTCGAAAGGCATTTGATACTGTCAACCATGAGATACTACTAAAAAAGATGTTCAACATAGGTATCAAAGAAGAAAATCTTAACTGGTTTAGAACATACTTGTCAGAACGACCTCAACAAGTAAAGATTGGGAAGTGGCTAAGTGACATACTTTTTATGATGTGTGGAGTCCCACAGGGATCAGTCCTTGGGCCCATCCTGTTCTTAATTTATATTAACGACATTGGGAAACTCAAGCTGAATGGGAAAATCCAACTATTTGCAGATGATGCCGTGATAATTTACGAAGAAAAGGACTATAACAGCATAGAGAAAAAGACTGCAGAAGATCTCCT